GTGCTGAAGGTGAACACTTTACCAAGGTATGTTGTGTTCTCTGTAACATTATTCTCGTTATTAATGGTCCATAACACTTGAGCTGCAGGTTTGGCWTCTGCTATACAGGTGTAGTTTATGGTCTCATTTTCAGCTTTCACTTGCTTGGTAGTAGGAAGATTTGACATAAAAGATGGAGAAACTAGAAGAAAAAGGAAAAAAAGTGATGAAAGTAAATCACAAAGTTAACTTTTAGTCAGGGACCACACAGCAAATTTTAAATTCTTCAGTTTTAAGTTCAGGGTATCTTTGATTTTGTGCAGAATATTCATGTGTTCCAGTGAAGGTCCGTTGAATTTCAAAGTGTTTGTTGAAGTGCATTCTTTACTTTAGTGTTGGTATTAGATTAGTTGGTGAATATTTAAACACTGATTCAAGGCTAACCCTGAGTAAGAACAATGCACTGTAGAAATGAATCATAATAATCATTATGAAATGAGTCTGTAATCAAGAAAAACAACAGTATTTTGGAACTCAAAAATGGTCAATACTCTCAGAGATGTACTGAAATCTATGTTGAAGGAAACTGTGAGTTGCGAATATGACGTCATCAACATCCTGACTAGCATAAACTTAAAACTAAATATCTCTCAGACCAAAAATGTAAAAGTGCCATATTTCTTCTTTTGTAACGTACTCTAACATGTGTTTAGATAGTAAAGATTGCAGACGTTCAAATTTCATTGTAGTAGCACATTGTAGTAGCACTTTTTTTTTTAGTTTTAGTATCCTGTAATCTTCAATTAATTTCATTAAAGTAAGCTTAAATGTTTACACCAAAACCTTCTTCACTTTTCTTTACTTCCTTTAAAGGAGGCACAAATATAGGGTATTTTTCCCCTGGGAAACTGAATTCTTTCATGWAAATCAGATTAGACCATATTCAATGTTACTGCTTCTACGTCCTGTCGTGGCTGGCTATCGTGTGATGGTACAAAGCCTCTTTAAAAAAATAGGGGAGGAACTGCAGAACTTACCCAGTACGGTTATACTACCCTCAATCTCTGGTCCTTGTCCCATCATGTTGTATGGTGTACAAGTAAACTTTATATTTTCATCATTAAGGTTTACTGATTTGAATGAGTAAATGCCTTGTTGTCCAGATACCACAAAACCTTCTTTTTTAAGAATGTATTGTGGAGGAGGATAGCCATCAGCTTTACATGCTAATGTCGCTTGAGAGGCCATCACAGCTCCAGTGTTTGGCATCCCTGTGCTGAATATAGCTTGTGTTGGCTTAACTGCAAATAAGAAGATAAAAAAATTCATAGATAAAACAACTTTTTAATATTATTCTTCACAAAACTGCCAAGCACTCTAGGGTAATCCATGAACATATAACTGTATAGAGGTTTTTCATGTGACAGGGCAGTAATGTTTGAGGGCAAAACAAAAGAAATTTTCTCCTTTGGGAAATAAATTCTCTTGCATGCAAAAACCACRAACTTTGCCGCTGTGAATATTCTCTATCGTGTGGAGTAAATGGAATTCCTTTAGAATACCCTGCAGTTATATATAGAACTCTTTGAAGAATGTACCAGCCATACATCAATAGAAGGTTCTGGAAGCACGGGTAGCGTAACAGTGAGAGGGCTCACCTCTCACCAATGCGAACTGGATTCAAGTCCAGCCAAGCACCAAGCTTGGTGTCGTATGTGAGTACATTGTAGGGTTGTTTGTCTTTTCTCTAATTTGCTTTGAGGGTTTTCTGGGTTCATTCTAAGTCAATTCTCATTCAAACATTATGCATATTATCATTCATCAAAGGTCCCTAAAAAAGGAACATGATATATTTAAAATGTGATCAACTTACATCTTATGTTAAGAATTTTGCTGTTCTTCTTGCTGCCATGAGCATTCTTTGCAAGACAGGTGTAGTTTCCTCCTTGTTCCTTAGTGATACTAGGTTGCCTTATTTCTTTATTTCTTTCACCACTCCCAGGAATAGCTACTCCATTAAACTGCCAGGTGAAGGTAGGGAGGGGCATACCATCTGACTCGCAGACAACCGTTACTGTCTCAGAGATGTTTATAGGATTGCTAGGTTTGAAAACGACAGTTACTTGCCTGGGCGGATCTAAAAGAAAATGATAGCAGATCATGTAAATTATAAATATGAAGAATGGCAGCAATAATCTACTACGAACCACAGGCCTTTGGTCATGAGCTTATTGCTTTAATTCAAGGTATTTATCTTTCTTATTGTATACGTAATGAAGTTTTAATAACATGGCACATGGCAAGAAAATGCAGGGAACTAATACAGTATTGGTCAACACACTCAGGTATCATATTTTTTTCTGGTTTTAAAGAGCAGGCAAAGATTTAGACTTGCTTCAAGCTGACCACTTTGTAACCCAGCGTCAGAAGTGAAGGAAGTGGGTGGAAAATGAATATTTTTTACAAGAGGTCAACCTGTCTCTCTTGAAGGATTTTCAAAAACGTAATTCACCTCCAGACATTTCAATTTTGTAGATAGACTTAATATATATCTGAAAATAGTCGAGTGAAGGTTGAGTTTTATTACTCTTACAAAGCCCAATTGCTTGTACTGAAGCTAGAACAGAATTCTTCATGTTTATCTAACTCAGGAAAGGTCTATGTAATTCATATTAGAGGTGAATGTGAAACAAGTATTTTACAGTACATCTACAATTTACATATACTGCCACCCAGTTGGCTTAGTTGGTTGAGCATGGTACTTTTGTGTAGGAGGTCGTGGTTCGAGTCCCAGCCGGACCAACACTCGGGGTCTTAAAACAACTGAGGAGAAAGTGCTGCTTTTGTAATTACATCTGCAAATGGTTAGACTTTCAAGTGGCTCGGATGACCACTTTAAATGGGGGTCCCAGCTCTCCACACTTCATCATAACCAATATCAGAGGAACGTAAAAGAACCACTGAGGATGTAAAAAAAACCCTGGCACTGGCCACCCTCAGTGCMTAAACCTCATGCTAATAACCTCTCATGTTTGTAAGTTGCATAAAAAAGCAATCTTGAATTTATAACTCAATGTAAAGCGTCTTTGATTAATCCATATAAAAAGGGTACTATATAAATCACAAATCATCATTTCTTTTTGACAAAGTATGTTGCCTGTGACATTACCTCACTCTTCACAAATAAATGGTACAATTATAAATGTATATGGCCTTGAAAATATGCAGCCTCTTAGAGGTATGATTAAATATGATCCTACATAAAGTTGTTAGAAAGTTGATTAGGAAACACTTGGACATA